GCCATTTGGGCCTGGAATTTTCTTTCTAGGAAAGTTTTTAATTACTGATTCAATTTCTATAATAGATAATAGAGCTATTCTAATTTTCTTTTGCATGTGTGTGTACCAGTTTTAGTAATTTATGTCTTTTAAGAAATGTGTTTGTTTCGTCTGTGTTGTCAAATCTATTGCCATAACTTGTTTCTCATATTTTTATTATCTTTTTTATATCTGTGGATCTGTAGTTGTTTTCTTTTTTCATACCTGATTGATCATGTGTATCTTTTTTGTTTTCTTGGTTAATCCAGCTAAAAATTTTTTAACTTCTTTGATCCTGTCAGAGAATCATTGTCTTGTGGCTCGTGTTATTTCTGATGAGACATCTGTGATAATTTTTTTATTTCTTCTACTTTATATTAAATGGTGTCCCCTCTCCTCCCTGGCTTCTTTTAAGATTTTTTTCTTTATTATTAGTTTTCAGCAAGTTGATTATGATGTGTTGATGTGGTTTTCTTTGTGTTAACTTGTTTATGGGTCTATTGAGCTTCTTGAATCTTTGAGTTTGTAATTTTCATCAAATTTGGAAAATTTCTGGCCAGTGTTTCTTTAAATATTTTTCTGCTTTTTTCTGCTCACCCCCTCAGCTTCTAGGACTTCATTTACATGTATGTTAGACCACTTGATAATAGCCCACCCGTCCTTTAACTGAGTTTCTAGGTTTGGTTTTGTTTTATGTTCATGTTAGACAGTTTTCTTGTTATATTTTCAAGTTTACTTTGTCTTGTAGTGTTTCATCTTCCATTAAGCTCAGCTAGTGAATTTTTATTTCAAATATGGGAATTTTCAGTTCTAGATGCTCTATTTGGTTCTTTTTTTTGTCTTTCCATTTCTCTCATTGTGTTTTCTTTAAATACTTCATTACTGTCCCTGTCTACTGGTTGCATCATCTCTGTCACTTCTGGGTCTCTTTCTCTTTCTTTCTTTTTTCTTTATTTTTTATCTTGAAATAATTTTAGACATACAGAAAAGTTGCAAAAACAGTAGAGTTTACTTATACTTTTCACCCAGCTTTCTCTAATGTTAACACCTGACGTAACCAAAGTATAATTACCAAGCCCAGGAAATTTACAACAATGCAACACTATTAACCAATCTACCACCTTATTTGGGTTTCACCTGTTTTTACATTAATGTTGTTTTTCTATTCCAGAATCCAGTCCATCATTACACATTGTATTTAGTTGTCATATCTCTTCTGTTTTTTTAATGTTTGAGCCTCTCAGTCTTCCTTTGTCTTTCAAACTTTTGAGAATACTGGTCAGTTATTTTGTAAAAATGCCCCTCAGTTTTTGAAACGATGCTAATATCCTGTTTCTCATGTGATCATTTCATAATACTAATAGTGATTCTGATTAACAACACACACTGTATAACATTTACATAGTACTGTTCTGAGCACTTTGCTCTACGTATAAGTCCTTTATTCCCCACAACAGCCAGAGTTGCAGGGCTGGGTGCCCTAGCAGTCAAGATAGGGACCCAAAGGGCTTGCTTAAATCCCTCGGCCCTTCACTTCTCTTTACTTACATTGTTATCTTTTTGATGAATGTGCTGATTTGGGGTAAGCTTCAAAAAATTTCTGCAAACTATAAAAACACTTATGTACACACACAAGAGCCTCCATCGTTTTCGTCAAACCATACATATTTCTGAAACGGATCTTGGATTGCCAACATTCTTTTCTTTTTTATGTCTGGTTTATCTTCAATTTAAATTTTCCCTGTACTCTGGCTCTCAGGCTCTCTCATCTTTCAAGGTTTGTACTTCTCTGGTTCTGCACTCCCAAAGAGATTCTCCTCCATCAGGTTTAATGTGGATGTCAAGTGGAATTGTGTTTTGTTAGTTTGGGTGTTTGTAGTGTGCTACAGCCCATTCCCAGGATCATATTTCTCTTACTAGGAGACTTAGCAAGACACAAAGGCAATTTGGAAGTGAGAAACTAAAAAGTATCCATTTACTTAACCAAATGTACAGTGTTGCTTTTGTTACATGCAAATTTATGACAATATCAGTAAACAGATAAATGACCAACCATGTTTCAAACTAAACTAAGAAGGTTACTTTTAAAAAGTAAAAGTAATTGGACTAAAAGACCAATTAATTTAAAGTAGCTGGATTATTACTGTCCCTGGTTGTAGTCCTGGTCCTGCCTTAACTCTCTGGGCCCAGGAACAAATCACTAGCTTTGCTGGCCCACAGTCCTGTCTTTCCTGTGAAATGAGACTAGATCATTGAGTCCTTTTATGTCCTTCCCTGCATTTGCTGCTGCATGGGGAGCCTTATCTCCTTTATACCCATCAGGAAATGCTGTAGAGTTAGTATCCATCCAGTGCTTACCATGCATCAGGCAGTCCTCTCAATTCTTTAGTTGGCTTATCTTATCTCTTTCCCTAGGAGAAAGTCTGGAAGGAAATCCGCCAACATGCTCATTCTGGCTCTTGAGATGTTCCTGGCATATATTTGTCTCTTTTCTTCATTTTCCATAGATTACATTACCTTGCAGTAAAAAGAAATGTGAAGAGCAGTTATTGGGAAGTAATAACAAAAGCTGACCAAGTGCTTTGCAGGTTTTAAGCACTTTTCACATGAATTTATGTGATTAATCCTTCTAGAAACAGTATGGCACCATTGGTGTTATTTCCCCATTTTACAGTTGAAAAAGCCCAAGGTCACACAGCTAATAAAGAGCTGAGCCAGAAGGTCAACTCAGGACCTCAGACTCCCAGACTTTCTACACCAAACTCCCTCTCCCCAGAGGAATTGACTTCCGTTACACCCTGGGAAGTCATGCCAACACTAGATTTGAAGGATAGTCTCCACACATGGTCAGGACTGACTTTCTCTGCTATTAAAGGTGATGTAACTTGACTAGACACCTTGTATCACATATGTCCTCCCAAATAGCCCTCTCTCCAGACTAACCCAAGCTTTGGAGAGCTCCAGAGTTAGCTGCACTGAGCAGTCGGACCTCTTCATGGAAGACAGAGAGCTCCCAGGCCAGGATGGGAAGGGCACTGGTATTTTCTTAGTGTCTTTGGAAGATATCCACAGGGTTTGACTCGTCTGAATAATGGGAAGACATGACAGGATTTATACACCTTTCATAGGCTGGGATTTATACACTCCTCAGGGTCATTAGACTGACAAAGAGGTTTCCTACCTTATGTTTAATAGTCCTTTACAGGTTCTGCAGCAACCACTTGTCAGTAGCTACACTGATCTTCACAGCTACCCCCTGAGGTAGCCCGGAAAGGGGGTGTGCCTCTGGTCCACTCTGGTGAAAAGTAGGTGCCGCAGACCGAAAATAGCAGAGTCCACCGCTGCCCTTCTATCCTCAAGCCTGGGCCTCTTTCCTTTCTGCTGACTGACCTCAGCTTCTTATTCATACCATTGTGTGTGTAGCTTTATGACCGTTTTCCCATCATGAGTCTGTTTTAATTGTGAATTTTATTTTAAGGAAGGAAAAATCAGATTTACTGTGCTTCATCGTCTTGCTCTATTCCAAATGAATTCTGCTGGTTATTTTATCCTCGGCAGTGGTGGGCCAGAATTTGACTAAAGCTTCTACTCATCTGGTGTATTTCCATGCCAGACTTTTAATTCAGCTGCCAGCTTTTTAGCATTTACTGTACTTTTGTTAATAAACGTTACTTTGATGGTCTCACATGAATCAAGCCTATTTGAGAGGGAGGGATCACCAAATATGATTTATAGAGGAATTGACTTCATAGATGTTCAAAGAATTGTTACCTTACACATGTGTTTTAATCAGAATATGTATATAATTAAAGTTAGTCATGTGATTCTTTAAAAAATATATATTTTATTTATTTATTTGACAGAGAGAGAGGGAACACAAGCAGGGGGAGTGGGAGAGGGAGAAGCAGGCTTCCTGCCGAGCAGGGAGCCCGATGCGGGGCTCGATCCCAGGACCCTGGGATCATGACCTTAGCTGAAGGCAGACGCTTAACGACTGAGCCACCCAGGCACCCTGTTTCATTCTTTCAAAAGAAAAAAAGCCAAGGGACAAGCTCAGATTCATGTATTCCTCTTAAGAACTTATACTGAGCACCTGCTACATGCCAAATGTTCTAGGCACTAGAAATGCAGCTGTCAACATGGCCCACAAAACACCTGCCTTCAAGAAGTTTCTGCTCTAGGAGCAGGCGGGAGGGGGCATGTCACACATGGTGCCAGGGCTATGGAAGAGGCTGAGCAGAGGGTGACAGAGTCCTTCGGAGGCAGGTGGTTAGGGAAGGTCTAACCTCAACCTGTCCACATTATGGCATAGAAATCTGATTTCCATCAACTTAAAAAAAATTTTTTTTGAAGACATAATAGCTGCAGAATAAATTATGTTTGACCTTGTATGCAGTCAGAAACCAGCATGTTGCCATTAAACGTATTCAGAGGCATTCTTCAGAGAGATATTAGGGACCACTACTGCCTCCAGCTGGTCTACGTTTATCTATTTTTTATACGTTGGCCTCCTACTTTTAAAAAAAAAAAAAAAAGATCTGCCTTTCAAAAGAAAAGGAAAAGGAAACGAGTAGAAAGAGGGTTTAAGAATTTTTGTCTTAGAACCCTGTTTTCATGTGTTTTTATATTTTGGGTGTTCTTCTAAAATGATGGTGTGCATTCCATAAATTTGGGTGACCTTAAGATTTTGTATTTCACTCCCTCTGAACAGTGGAAAGAAAATATGCTTCCTTCGCACCCACGCTCCTCCAGGAGACCAATATTAGCCCCAGGATGAGCTCAGGGAGGGAGGCTGGCCACAGCAGGAACCCCGCCCCTTATCTGAGGTCTTCCCTCAGAAGCAAAAGTGTAAGGCTGCCCTTTCTCAGAACTAAAACAGCCCACCTTGCTTTTTTGTTCTAGAAGGTGCAGATAGTGCTTGGGGTTTGAGGTGACTGCTTCCGCTCACCAGAATACAACATATGTTTTCCTTTTCTCTCTAGGTGGCAGCACAAAGACAGAAAAGGGGCAAGTGACAGCAGGTCCAACGCAAAGCTTGGCTGCTTCTTCTATAACTTAAGACACTCTCAAGGGGCTAAGACTTTTTCTTCTGCACCGTCTAGAAATTCTGCAAATGCCGAAAAGTATACTTTAAAGAACTAACCCCTAACAATCTATTTCTTTAACACCACTAGTGCATTTGGGTAATGGCCTTTTGCGCTGGAGGCAACTCCATCGTGGAACTTGAATGCACTCCCAGAGGGTCCACAGTCTGAGAACTCAAGCCACATCACCCCTCAGCCCCCGGCCTTTCTCCCATTGTACAGTATAGTGATTCTGATTTCAAAACAGTGGGAGGAGAAGGTGCATGGTGAAATTGGGGTCCTTTCTAAAACCTGCCCACGTTGGCCTGTGTCCTCTCCTGGGGCTAGCTAGCGTGGTGTAGGTACATGTGTGCTGACTACCAGTACTTGATTCCACACTAAAAGCTTTGACGAGCCAACTTCCTACCCTGACTTCAAAGAAAAAAGAAAAAGCCTGACTTTTCTGTACTCCTTATCAGTTTGGCAGCTACTAAGTTAAAATGATAACTGAACATGTGCATTTTACAATCTGCTGGAGTTATAAACACTGATTCATTTTTAAAAGAAGTCTAATATGTGTATTATTATTATTTTTTAGAGTGAGGTCATAAGACATGGGGGGAAAGTTGAAAGTAGAGGCCAAAAAGTAATTTAGTGGGGAATTCTGATGCACAGTTGAATACGTTTTAGGGGGGTAGTGGAGGGATTTGTGCAAAAATACCCAGAGATTTGAGCTGGCTCGTCTACATGACACACAAGAGGAATAGGGTAGAAGCCACTCAGTCATCTTCCTGCATTCACACAGGACCCCAAACCTCTTCTTCAAGAAACAACTTTGTTTCTTATTCTCTGATTCCAGCAGGTAAGTAGAACCTGGTTCTAGAAAGTGCTCTGTAATTTTTGCCACACCTCCCTTCACATATAGAGATTTGCATTAACTTTGAAGGACTTTTAATATTCCTGTAGTTGATGCTCTGTAGTTGATACGTGAACCCTCCTCTTCAGAAACACAACTCTAGAGAGTCCCCTGTGGAAATTGGGTGTATGACAGGCTTCCAAGAGGGAGTGCTCGGCAGAAATCACCTGCCAACTTGAGCAAATCGGTTTGCCTCTCAGGACTTCATTTCAGGGCAGGAGAACCAACTAATGTGATGGCTGTTCCTTATCTCTTTCTCCTCCCGAAAGACACTTCTGGGAAACCTCCATGTGGGCACCATGCTCCCACGTGTATAAGGCTGCCCCAACTTCAGAAAGTCTTGTTGGAACAGCTCTGTGTCTTCCACTGACTCCACTTATCCATTGTGTCCTTGGCCCCCTGCTTCTTTCTCTTCTCCTCTTCCCTTCTTTCTCTTTCTCCCCTCCCCCCCCACCTCTACACACACACACACACCCCCTCACTTATTGCCTCAAATAGTAACCCACTCCTTGGTGACCAGTCACTGAATACTGGTGACACCTAAGTTGTCACTGGAAGCCCCATTCTCTTACCTGTGCCCCAACCTCATACCCCATTGGCCTCTGAACTTTGAAGAACTAATAACACTTTAAATTCAACACACTTAAATTATAAAAATTCATTACTTTTTTAAATTTTTACACAGTAATTCATGATATATGCCTAAAAAAGTTAAAAAGACAAGCATAGGCAAAAATGACCCCTACCCCCACCTTTGCCCAGGCTCCTCTAGGTGTTTCCTCGGCCCTGAATCTGCTTCTTTTCTTAGTCGTCCAATTTCCAATATCCAGTTTCTATCCTTTTTCTAGCTGGCAGCCCCACACTCACTTTCCATACAATCTACTTCATTGCTTTACCTATATTATTTTATTAAATTGGTATATATTTTTATGTTATATATATTATATGATATTATATTATCCTATTGATTTCTCCTTCAGAAATACTTCATAGGAAAACTAAAAGCAGATCAATAGCAATAAAACCCTGGTCGTTTCAAAAGAGCCCAGGGGGCGCCTGGGTGGCTCAGTCGTTAAGCGTCTGCCTTCGGCTCAGGTCATGGTCCCGGGGTCCTGGGATCGAGCCCCGCATCGGGCTCCCTGCTCAGCGGGGAGCCTGCTTCTCCCTCTCCCACTCCCCCTGCTTGTGTTCCCTCTCTCGCTGTCTCTCTCTGTCAAATAAATAAATAAAATCTTTAAAAAAAAAAAAAAGAGCCCATTCCTCAGCACGGCCACTGCCACCAAGCGTAAGGCTGTTTCCCAGCTGGCCTGTCAGCAGTCTTGAGGGCAGAGACCATATGGCCCATGTCTCTAGTTCCCACAGAGCTGGACAGGCCTCCCGTATTCCACCCTCATCACATGGGTCACTGTTGCACAAATAAAATGAGATACTCCTCTCTTGTAAGATTATCAAGGACGTTTAGAAAACAGCCCTGCTTAGAGCCAGAAAGGATGTGGGAAATGAGTGCTGCTAGGAAAACTATAAAAAAAAAAGGACAACTTCTGGAGGCCAAGTTGGAAAAAACGTATCAAAAGCCTTAAAATGTTGAATTCCCTTTCCTTCAGCTATACCCACTGTTAGAAATATAGGAAACAACCATGAATGTGTGCAAAGATTTAGCTACACTCTGTGACCCCTCAGGGGAGGGAGAGAGAGGAAGAGAGAGTTTAAGGAAGACTGCACATGATTTCTCCCGACTCCACCTGTGTCTTTGTCCCTTAGGCTCTGTGTACCCCTAGGACGCCACTGTAAGAAATCTTAGCCGTCAATACAACTATTTGACAACTCCTGTGAGTCCTGATAGCAGATACTCAAACATGGGAGTGGCCTTGAGGACCCCTCAACACACCATTGTGTCCCCAGAAACTCACGCGGTACTTGACATTTATGAAGTTGGTTATTACCTATTTTTTAGAAAGTGAAAACTTCAGAGGGCTGGAGTTAAATCTATCCTGTGAAAACTCTCAAAAGAACTAAGAAACATTACAGTTTATTAACTACATCCCCATGACCCAAATAAAGAACATTCATTCTTCCCCAACAAGCAGAATAAAAAATGATTCAGGAAATTTAATACAGTCCAAGCTAGTCAGAATTTTTTCTCAAGAAGATGAATTTCCTGTATCTGAAGTGAGGGGAGGCACGGGGAGCAATGGCCGGGATGCAAGCTCCCTGGTTTTCTCATCTCCCTGCTGTCCCACCACACATTGGCCAATTCCATCACATAGAGTGACACACAGTATGGGCAGCAGGGAGTGCTTCTCAACACTGGCTGCACGTTGTAGTCATCTGGAGGTTTTTGTTTTTTTTTTTAATTTTATTTATTTATTTGTGAGATAGAGAATGAGAGAGAGCACATGAGAGGGGGGAGGGGCAGAGGCAGAAGCAGGCTCCCCACCGAGCAGGGAGCCCGATGCGGGACTCGATCCAGGGACTCCAGGATCATGACCTGAGCTGAAGGCAGTCGCTTAACCAACTGAGCCACCCAGGCGCCCTCATCTGGAGGTTTTAAAAAACACTGACACTGGGGCCTCTCCCCTACAAATTCTGATAGAATTAGTCAGCGGTGTGGTCTGGGCACTGGGATTTCCCCCACTGCCCTGCCCTTCCTCCCCTATCCCCCACCCCCGCCAGGGCCTGCCTTTGATAATCCTATTTCACAAGGTCCAGGCTTCCACTCAAGGCCAATTTATTCTTATTTTTCAAAGACTTCCTAAAACTTCTGTTTTCTGGCTTCCTAGCTCACAGCCAATGGGCAGGCTCACTGAGAAGAAAAAACACCACGTTTTTATCTCAATAGCATGAGAAGAAGGGAGCAGTTAGGACAAGCGGAAGAACTCAAAACCATAAACATCAGGGTGATTTCAGTTAGTCGCTCCTAAGAATATCCTGGTAGTGCTGAACAACGTCATTCGAGAGAATGACCGCAGTCTACACCACCACTCGGCACCACGCCCTGTTATACGTGCTTGGCTTGAGGTATAAGCTGAGGCCAATTAATTTTAATATTGATTTTAAATATTTGGCAAGAGCCATTCTCAGTAATGAGCATTCATACGGTACCTACTGCCTTGGGGAAGCGCTCTCCGCCTTGAAATGTAAACCCATCCATTTGCCATCTTTATACTTCTCTCCAGGGAAGACTGCAGACACAGAGGCCCATCAGCTGGTCATGGGCAGAGCTGTGAGCGATCTTAACTTTGTAGCCCCCAGCATGGCTGCTCAGGGAATCCGCGAGCAGTGCGAGGTCAATTCGGTGAGGTAAGCTTGTCCAGGGCGTGAAAATCAGGCCGAGGACTTTGTCTCGGAAGTGGATGGAAATGTAGCTTCACCAACAGAAGAGAAAAGCCACAAAAAGAGGGAGATGGGGATTGCGGCGTTGGTGTAGACGGGCAGGTGCGCCTAAACTGGAATGATTAGGATTTAGGCGGTGTAGACCGGCAGGTGCGCCTAAACTGGAATGATGGGGCTCTAGGTGGGCGTGGCCTGAGGCAAGGCGCCAGGGGCCGAAGGGCCCTGACCCTTCCTCAGAAGGAGAAGCAGATGAGAACTCAGGAGGACGCGGTCAGAGCTCCTAAGGGGTTTGGAGAATCTCTTCGGGATAGCATTTCACCTCTCTCGGCCTGGTGCCGTGGGAAAGATGGCAGTTGCAGTTTCAAGATGAGTTGTGGTTAGAACGTGCGCCCCAAGGAGACACCACAAAGGCTGGCTAAGAACCTGTGAGGAGCAGCTGTGCAGGGGCCATGGGGTCGGCAGGCCCAGGCAGGGCCCCAGGAGACCCCATCTACCCAGGTGTGGAGAAGGAGTCAGCTTTCAGAGCCCCTCAAGCCAGCCCTCCGTTGTCAACCAGCCCAGAGGTAAGTAATCACTGAATGGGCACTAATCATTTTACTACTCATTTATCTTCCCAGTGAATGCTTTTCAACACTAGTGTTTACATTTCCAAAGAATAAAGACTTGTAAAAAGGGTGGTGGGGTTTATGGCTGCAGGAAACTGGCTCCCAGTTTGCTCTGCTGACAGGTTTATAAGACAAAGGAAGTTCTTAAGGTAAAAAGAATTTCTAAGCAAATATATTTTTAGGAAATGAATTTTTCGCCTTTTTTTCTCTTAACAAATATAAAGGTTATTTGCATTGATTTCGTTAGTGAACAATGAAAAATGGTTGAAATGCAGGGTTATGTTTTTTAAATGGGAACAAAAATACCAATGGGTTTTTTTGTTTGGTCCTGTTTTAAAAGATAAGCTCGGTAAAAGACGTTATTTTGTCCATTTTAAAAATGGCTAATTTGCCTACAATTATTTTATTAAAGTTTGAGTAAATGAATACCGTGTTGTTTAGAGTATAGTTTGCAGAGCACTAGCCTGGACAGAATGTAGTTACCTTAACACAGCCTGATTTGGTCATTGGGGGATTAATAGCAGAGTGGATCCAATTATCTTGGCTGCATTCATGATTATATCAATACGATGTGTATTAAAATGTCTGGTTTTTACCACAGAGATAGGAAGGAAGGCAGGGGAGCAGAAGGGCCTGGGGACTGGAAATGTTACCATAGTCCATGCATTTCCAGCAGGACAGGCCAGCACACGAAAGAGAATTGTTCTGGAAAGAACACGGAGCTCCTAGACCAGGAAGGTCTTCTACCCCATCCAAGTATCCTTGAGCCTGATTTCCACCACAGGTGATTCATTTCTTGGAGTTAAACCTTGGGTTGTCCACTCTGTCGTCAGGCTTTAGAAATCCTTTCCCTTCACTGGAAAAATGAGGTCCAGAGAGATGACTTGCCCCAGTGATAAGCTAAGAAAATATCCTGAATACTTTAAATCCATCTTGAGGCTTCAAAACATCTACATGCTCTGGAAAGTGAATCTCGTATGGTTTTACTTTTTTTTTTAAGACTTTATTTATTCATTTGACAGAGAGAGAGACAGCGAGAGAGGGAACACAAGCAGGGGGAGAGGGAGAAGCAGGCCTCCCACGGAGCAGGGAGCCCAATGCGGGGCTCGAATCCCAGGACCCTGGGTATCATGACCTGAGCCGAAGGCAGAAACTTAATGACTGAGCCACCCAGGCGCCCCCCATATGGTTTTCCTTTAAAATATCTTCAAAATTCACTGCTTCGATCCTTTAGACTGTTCACATTGAATTTGAAATATGAATGTCCATGGACTTTTCCGGTTTGAGTATAAAGATGGGAGAGCTGTCTCTCCCCTTCTTTGAAGTTGTGGAAGGCAAAAGTAAAATAAGAAATGAAAATAAAATATCCGTTACTAGCAAAACTAGGAGGGAGTTAAAACTAAGAACAGCAAAATAGTTGGAAGGCCTGCATACAGCAGGGGAGCAGGCTGGGGAATGGAAAAAAGGAGAGAAGAGTATATGGCTTCAGAAATCAAGATGAGTCAGTAAAATACATTCATAAAAAGGGAGAGATGAAGTGAGGAACAAAATCTGAGTTTCATGTTTTACTATAGAGGAAACAATATACAAATAAGGGCAGCAAGAACTTTCTGGACCCAGTTGTGAAAAGTAGAAATGATGGGATTAAAACGCGTGCGTGTGCGCGTGAGCAGACACACACACACACACACACACACCCTCATACACACACACACTTGCAGGGAAAGCCCTATCTGCAAGCAGCAAGAAAGAAGAGAGGTGCTTTTTGAAAACCCCTATAGCGCCTGTCTTTATTGGCTGGGGAGAATAGATCTAAAACTCATGCACAAAACCTTGATTCATAAAGAAAATCCTTACTAGGATAGAATGTGATCCTGCAAATATTTGGTCCAAGAAAAACTCGGTGGCCGCAAAGGGGAGACATTGAAGATAACCCACCCAATTTATTTTAGAGATTCAAGAAATAAAAAAAAGAAAAAGATCAGGAAAAACAAATGGCAGATGAAGTGTTACCAAAGAGCGGATGAAAATAGGAAAAGGCATTTTACTACAAATGTGAAATATTTAATTGCTGTCACCTCTACAAAGCCAGGGCATAAAGCAGAGGTGTGACTATCTGTTGGCAGTGACAGCAAGACAAGAGACCAAGAGTGAACTGGAGAGATTCAGGGTAGAAATGGGAGAAAAAATAAACTGTCAAAGAAACGAAGGTGAATTGGGAGAGAAAATAGATAATAATAAAACACAGGAGCTCAGAGGATCAAAATGAGAAAACCAAACAAAATGAAATGGATATGGGTGTGGGAAAGATTTATTAAACAGGACACAAAAAGTGAGCATAAGATTGATCCAAAAACCTGGTAATAATTGTATAATTTTTAAAAACCAAAGTTATTTAAAAATACAAAGCAAAATTTTACCAAATAGACTCAAGCGACTCATTAAAAGAATAGTATAATATGACAAAGTGGGATTTATTCCAGGCAAAGATGGTTCAATTTTAGGAAGTCTACTTATATGAATTCCCATATAAATGATCAAAGAAAAAAACCATGTATTTATCTCTTTAGATGCTTTGAAGATGTGTAGCAAAATTAAACTTCCATTATTGATCTAAAATAGTTCAGTGACATAGGAATAGATGTGTACTTGCTAACATAAACCAAGCTGAAAGTCAACGTTATGTTTAAAGGCGAAATACCAACAGCATTCCTACTAAAGTCAAGAATGAGCTAAAAATGTTATAAACAGAAAAGAGAAATTAGGCCTATAAGAATTGAAAAGATACAATATCATCATTATTTGCAAATTATATATTTGTATGCTTGGATGACCCAAGAGGATCGATCATCTGAAAAAGACTATGAAAATAAGAATTTAGTAAGGTGGCTTAATATAAAATCAATATATAGTTTTCAAAAGCTTTCATACATTTAAACAACTGGTTAGGAGAGGTAATGGAAGACCTTTTTACACTTAGAATAACAACAAAAAAGCTAAAATAACCAAGAATAATGTTCCAGATCTTTATGAAACAAAAACTTTAAACTGATCCTGAAAGACACAAAAGCAGGTTTAAACAAATGCAGGCATACCATATGCTTGGATAAAAGGAGTGACTCTCCTGAAGAGGGCAAGTCTCCCTAAATTAAATCTCCCTGTGTGTAATTCCAATTAGTATAATGCCAGATTATTTTGTGACTCAACAAGTTGACTCTAAAGCTCATATGAGAAAATTAATTAGGAAGAATATTCAGAAGAATTCTTTGAAAGAAGACTAACAGGGCACACACTAGCCATCTCACGTATTAAATGATAGTTTTATGTTACAAAAATTAAGATGTGATATTAAATGAATAGAGAAAGAATCAGAATAAAAATACTACAGATAGACCTAAATGCATTTTAAAACTTATGATACAAGTAACATGTCAAATCAGTAGCAAAAAATATGGGCCTATTTAATATGTGATTTTTAAGACAAGTAGCAGTTTAGAAAACAAAGTTAGATGCATCAGAATGAATTCTAAATGGATCAAAGATTAAATGGTAAAAGATAAAAGAAATGGAAGAAATATGGGAGACTTAAAAATAAAATTCTTCCCGGCAAAAATCAATATAAGCAAAGTCAAAAGACACAATAACTGGGAAAAGCTATTTGTACCTCATAGCACAAAGAACCAATTTTCTAGAAACGGAGATATAAAAGAACAAACCGATAGAAAAATGGGCAAGGAATTGGCACTTTAAATGAACGAAAATGCACCAAATTGCAAATGCATCTGTCCTTTGACTCACTAATTTCAGTTCTGGGAATTTATAAACCTGCACCTGTGCGAAACAATATATAGGTAAGATTATTCATGAGATCATTGACATAACAAAAGACTGGAAACAACCCGGATGTTTATCTAGAAGGGGCTAATTAATTGAATTATGTGCATCTGCATAATGTGTTCAAGTTACCAATTGCTATGTAGCAAACGACCTCAAAATACAGTGATTAGAACAGAAATGTGTTATCGCTCAGTGTTCCGTGGTTGACTGGACTCAGCTGGGCGGGTCTCACTTCGGCATTCTCATGGGGTTACAGTCAGATGGTGGCAGGGCTGAGATTATCGGAGGCCTCCATAGTCTTCACTGCCACCCTGGCTCGCAGGCTAGCATGGCTAAAGGAGCCGGGGACTGGCCGAACACCTCCTCGCATGCTGTCTCTCCACGTGGCTGGCTTGGCTTCCACACAGCATGATGGTCTCAGGGTAGTCAGATTTCTCCCCCGGGGGAGTGTCCCACTCGGCAGAAGGTGGAGGCAGCCGGCCTCTTCATGCCTAACCTGCATACACAGCCTCACTTGCACTGTATTCTACTAATCGAACAAATCATTAAGGCCGTCACATATTCAAGGGGAGGGAAGTAGAACCTGCCTCTCAATGGGGAAAAGGAACAAAGAAAATGGGGCTCTCTTTAATGTGTCACATAATGAAAACACGCAGTTGTAAAAATGAATGAGGATGTTCTGTAGGTACTGACGTGGAAAAATGTCAGGTTCTGTTGTTAAGTGAAAAAACCAAGCATAGAACAATGTAAATAGCATCTTTTGTGTAAAGTCAGTAGGCGTGGGGAATAAAAACACCTATGTGTGTTTGCTTCTATTTTCATAAAGAAAACATTAACAAGAAGCCGATTAAAAATGCTTATCTATAATGAGAGCAGTGTGTGGATAGGTTCAGAGATAGGAGAAAGACATCTTAATATAGGCCTTTTTATGTTATTTTGACTTTTGAAATCGAATTGGAAAACAAAATACTTGAACATCTTAAGGAATGCAAAGATGCTCTACCTTGCTCATTTCCTTAGGGTGCTGGAGCTATTTGGGGACCCGTGTGATGGGCTCTATTTTGACAGTCCCATCGGTTTCCAAAAAATCTTCATTTCACCATCACAATAATAAAAATCAACTCAGAAAATAGTCCATTTGGTCATATGTTTAGTTATAGCCAATGGCCCCCACTAGTAATATTGCCTACAAATTAATTGCCATATTTGTGCTGGTCTGAGGGTATGGAGAGGGGGTTATTTTTCTTCATTGTCAAATCCAAAGTGCCATTTCAAATGTAATTTTCAATATGTCAAAATTGTCAAAATAGAAGATTAGCCAGTGGTGTGCTAACTGTTAAATATTCAGGAGTTCTCCAAGCCATTTGTTAAACCACTGGTAGCTTGAAATTGACTATGGCGACTACTTCCGGTACACATAAACAAATAAATTAGCATCGGGTTGCAATGGGTGTATGAATGAAAAACACAGGGAAGAGTGGAAGAGAAGGAACAGAAGGGGTGCTCACTTACACCAGGGATTGGGCAAGGTGGTATATGGAAATTATACTGACTTCATCAGTGAGACTTAGGGTTTCCACTTTCTCTGTCTCTGTAAGAAACTGTGCAGACATGGACCGGGAAAGGATTTTTCTTAAGTAGTTAACATGTATTGCACGGTTACATGTGCAAGATACTAGGTGCTTTGCAAGCATCATCTCACTAGTCATCCTAACAACTTTTTGAAACAGGCACTATGATGGTTTCCATTCTACAGAGATGAAACTGAGAGCCCAATGGTGGAAAATGATTTGCATAAGCCAATGAGCCCCAGAGCCAGACTCCAAATCTGGTGGCTTGGCTCCAGTGCCCACTCATTTAAGCATCAGCCTGTAAACGCTTCACATTATTACTTGGAAAACTCAGAAACTCATGATGAAGGAAAATAAAGTCACCCATAATTCTAACTTCCAAAGATGACCACTGTGAACATTTTTATCTAAACCAGGGGCTTTCAATCGTTCTGAGGGCTGTGACTCATGAATAACTGTGAGTAACTGGGGCTCCCTCTGAAAAGATTTTTCTCAAAGGTGTGAAAGGTGTAATCTGAAAAATCCCACATGTTTTTTATATGGTCTGCTCACTGTCCCATTTTATTTCTTCTTCTAATAAATGGCATGGTTTTTCAAAGTGCACATTGTCCATAATCAGGTATAAAGAAATTTGACATGTTTTTGCTAGAATGATTGATGGAAAGCTTTCCTGCACTGTCGCATTCCTACTGTACCCTCGTTGGACAGCAACCTGCTTTACTTTTCTTAAGATGCTAAGTCTTGTGGTGATATGCACACATAGTCACATACAGAGTTACAATACATTTATAATACATGTTACCTGAGAGCCAGGTTCATACTCAAACACACACACACACCCCCATTAGTTTTTGGAAGAGTTGGGTCAAAATCAATTTTGATTTTACCAAATATACTCACTTTGAAAAAGTCACAATCACAAGATTACCATTATATTTTCAAATAAATGTGTTAAAGAAAAGAAAAGAGCAAAACAAACTTCCTCTTCAATCAGAGGTGTTTTTGAAAAACTTTCAGTGGCAAATAAATGGTTGAATCTGAAGAATTTTTAGAGATTTCTTTGTGAACTGATTTATTTTTTGGTCAAATGTTTAATTAAAAATACTTTTAGATATGTAAAGAACTTACGAAGACGTTAAAGTTCTTTATGGAAAGGTATTATATGCTAATAACTGATCGTGGACACTAGCCAATTGAATGACATTAGTTATGACATATATTTTGAGGCTAATTAACCTCTGTTTTAGCTCTTTTTGATTTTTAAGATTTTTAATTCCCGATTTTTAATTGGTTTTCCCATTTTCTTTGCTCCTAGTTTTCCTCCTTTTGGTCCTTAGTGCTTGGTCTCAATGGCGCAAGACCTTGCTGGCGTGGTGGGTTACTCAGGATGGCTCATCCCATCCACGGGTGAGGGCCCTGCTGCTTTGTTAGGCTCCTAAGTGACCCCTTCTTGAGTGATTTGTGGCTTCAGTGTCTTATGCTTGTCACTAGTGTTTTCAACCCTTTTCTATTAAGGCCTTTATGTATGGGAATACTTTCATGATATTTTTCATCTCTGCAACGCAAGCTTATTATTCTCATATTTTCAAACAAATGTATTCAATAGAGATGGACAAAGTAAAATTTTCCATAGCAGAAATTTAATTTCTTCCTAATGTAAGACAAAGCCAATAGTCTAAAAAGTTTTGAATCCCTTAGTTTTTCCACCCTTGGATAGATAAGGTAAAACAAGTCACAATCAGAGGGTGCTGTGTGTGTGACTGTCCCTAGCAAATTAGTGTTTACTAGTCCCTAGCAAATTAGTAAACGTTTTGTCTCCTGAAGCCTCTGGTTTTGTTGCATTAATGTTATCTCCCTGCAGTGGCGCTTCATGGACTTTCAAAATGGTACTTGTTGATCTGGAAAAGTAGCGGAGATTCCTACGTACAGCTGTTTTATTTTATTTTGTCATATGCTTAGTTTACAAATAAGTTTTCAGAAAAATAAAATGCCTTCCCTTTTCTCTCAATTGCATTTGTCATCAGCTTTCATGTTAGTCCAAGGCAGCCACGTAGTGGGGAAATTCAGGGACTGCTAAAGTCCAAAGCCACGAGCCAAAGCCTGCTCTGAGTTGTTTCTTCCCCAACAGAAGAAAGCCATGACCAGGATTTGGGGGCACTTCACTGCTTGGTAATAGAAGTGAAGTTAAACTCGGTTTTAGACACATTGAGTGATGAATCTTACTGCATGATTCAGGCTCCAAACTAACCATTCGTTTCCACTGCTGGATATCTTAATGGGAAAAATTAGCTTTTAACTTTTTTTTTTTTTAAAGATTTTATTTATTTATTTGAGAGAGAGAGAGAGAGAGAGAGAGCATGAGAGGGGGGAGGGTCAGAGGGAGAAGCAGACTCCCTGCCGAGCAGGGAGCCCGATGCGGGACTCGATCTCGGGACTCCAGGATCATGACCTGAGCCGAAGGCAGTCGCTTAACCAACTGAGCCACCCAGGCGCCCTAGCTTTTAACTTTTATTTAGGTCTCTCGTATTTAGTTCGCTCCAACTATATGTGTCTGACATCGGGCTTCATCAAGGGTGCATGAGCGAGTGTGCCTCATCTTCCCCCTACTATCTGTTGAAACATTAGCAAGTCTGCAGCCAAGCTGCCGGAGCCAAGACCAGAGGTGGTGGTGGGGCTGGGGGTCTAGAACTAAAGCCCAGTTCTTGCACTTAGCTCTGTGCCTCTTTCTTTTATTTTTTAAAGATTTACTTATTTATTTATTTATTCATGAGAGAGAGAGAGGTAAAGGGAGAAGCAGACTCCCCATGGAGCAGGGAGCCCGATGCGGGGCTCGATCCCAGGACCCCGGAGTCATGACCTGAGCCGAAGGCAGACGCTTAACCGACTGAGCCACCCAGGCTCTCCTGTGCCTCTTTCTCCATCCGTAAAATCGGATAATAATAGTCCCTACCTCATGCTCACAGGACCAGAGCACTTGGCCGGGGCTTGGCACGTAACAAGTATGCGGCCAGGAGCAGCCACACTAGGGTCGCCGCCACATTTTCCAGCACGAGCACCTTGTCTGTAACACTGACCGTTGACAGGAAGCCGCTCCATCACACAGACCTCAGGCTGCAGCCAGCTCCGCTTCTCTTTAGACTAACCGGAGCCCCCTGTGAGAGGGAAGCAAAACCAGCGAAAACACTCTGAAGCTGTGCATTTGGAGGCCGAGAACCAGATGCACAGAGCAGAGTCGGCCTGTGTCCGAACGCGCATTGTGCTCGGTCCGCTAATGCCGCCCTCACACGGATGAGTGCAGCAGTTCAGTGACCTCTCATTATCACGTTGTGAAGTTAAACAGCCACAGGATCTACGAACTCTCATCCCACAGTTAATTATTCCTAGATTTTTCTGCACCCTTGCAACATATTCTATTTATTTAACCATCTCCTGGGAGTGCCGGTCGCCTTTGTCCCCATCACACAGCCAGTGGTATAAAACTTCTGCATCTGTCAGATTTCTCCATGTGGAGCATAATTGCCTGATTTCCATTTGAAAGTGCAGCCCTGACATTACAACTGCATAGACCCACCCGTGGTAACAGTGATGTCCTGACACCTACAAGGGCATGGGGGGTGCATAATGCTGTAATAAATACGTGCACCAAATGCACTCTTGCCTTCAGATGGACCAGGTCTGAGTTTACAGCTGCGGATGAAGTATTCCTCAGGAACAAAAAATAAAAAAAATTAAAAAATAAAAGAATAAAGAAAAAGAAACCAACAGATTAGCATCAGCGTGAGTCTGGTGGAGCCAGATGGCTCTCTGTGGAAATCGAGCTTTCCCGCTTTCTTCCAGTAACCCCGACTAGCAGACAGCAAGCCTGCTAAGAGGGGAGAGAAATGATCTCATTCCTCAGCCAGGCACGTGATTTGCCTTCTTTCTCTCACACACAACTCTAGCTGAAGGAAAGTTGGAAAAGAAGACAGGGTGAGAAAGAAGGGGTGGGGAATCGGGGTTGTTGTAAAGAATTAGCAGTGGTACGTACAGGAGGGGTGAGACCCCAGCCCCTGCCAGTCTCCAGCATTTGAAAACCAGGCTCAGATGGCCCTAGAGACCAGGTGGACAGTGACAGGGGCAGCAGAAGGGGCATCCTGGCGTGTCATTATCCCTTCCACCCACGTCCATGAACTCCACCTCCAGAGGCTTGGTATAGAAGGGTTGGGAGGTTGGGCAGGGCTGGCTGGGGCAGCCACAGGATTAAGCTCTGGGCTCCCTTGAGGAAGGATGGTGGGTAGTGTTTTCAAGTTCTTACTAATGAACATGTCCACCTCTCTTGGTGGGCTGCAGGCCAGTGAGTCTGTAACAGTCCCTGGCTAGCTAGACCGGGTCCAAAGCCGGACGCACCATCTGCTTGGATCTGAGTCTGCCGTGCCCAGGACTGTGGCCTGGAGTGCAGGGAGCTGAGGGGCTGGAGCCAGATGGGGCTGCCGGGTGAAATGAACCTAACAGGTTGTAGGTGCGGGAGTGTGCCTCTTCTCCAAGGTCCTAAGGCCTGGAGGGGGCTCAGTGTGGCCTCATTGTGCCTTTCCTGCTGAGTAAAGCATTTGCGGCTCATAAACAATCTTTCTGGAGTGACAGCCAGATGTTCGGCTGATGGACATCAGGCCGACCACCAGATGTTGTTAGAGCGGAGCACTTGCAGCAGCGTGTGGAGGGGCAGGCACCCCCCAAGCTGAGCTGCCCTCTTCGTGGATGTTCACATGCCCCAGCTTGGCATGGGGGCTCCTGAGGGCCCGACCCAGAGAAGCGCATCCAAGAAAGAATGCTCTCTTGAGAGTGCCAGGGGCTCGCAGAGCACGTCGGCAGCCTGGCTGGGTTTCCCCGGGCACCTGAAGTTTGTCTCCACCAGTGCTGACTCCGGAGTAAACAGTAGGCTCCAGAGGGATACCAAATGCAGGATGTAGTCATTTACAGCTGGAAATAATGATTCCAATCATAATAAACACTGAACCAAATCCTCTCCATTTCCAACCAGGGCAAGGGCACCTGCTTCATAATTTCTGGCAGGCCTGGGTATAACTAGGCATTGAAGTGGCGTATTCTACTGGGGCCAAGGACGCAAGGCAAGCTGCCGGCTGGGAGCCCAGGCTGCGGGCTCCTGCTCTTCTCCTTCCAAAAACAAAACAAAAAGCTGCCACTCTACCGAACAACTGTTTTGCTCTCATCTCTCCAACAGTGCTACCACCTAACAGCATTCATAGTCTTGGGTTGGGTTCTTGCTTACAACTGAGCTAAAGGACTTTGAAGGAAAGTATACAGGGAAAGTAACAAGATCGTGAGCTGGATCATTTTTCCTTGTCCCCACTTTAGCAGGGAAACCATAAGAGCATTAAAAAAAAAAAAAAAATCCTAGCACTTGAAAAGGGCTTGCGAAGTGTGGGTAACTCTTCTAAATGCTTTGTGTATGTATCTGACATCCCTATGAGGCAAGTCCTCTAATTATCCCCGTTTTACAAAAGGGACACTGAGGCAGAGAGATGTTAAGCAACGTTCCCAAACTCACACAGCTGGTGAGCGGTAGAGCCAGGATTGAAAGCTGGCTCCACCTGGCTCCAGGCTCCATACCTCCAGGCTGTCCTGTGTGTTTTGATGTCAGAACATTGAGCAGGATGTGTCTTGCTCAGGTGCTTTGTTTGTTTGTTTCCTGAGTTTGTTTCCTCATCTGTTGAGTAGGCCCTGGAAGAGCCAGGAACAGTAGTAACATGTAACATATGTGACGCCTAGCATGTGTCTGATGGTTAATAAATGTTAGCTACTATTATTGAGTCTCATGGTCATATTTGTGCTCTTATATTTTACTGAATCCCCACCAAGAAAACCTTTGAGGTAGGTGGGACTGCTATCACTGACCCTATTTCGTAGCGGGTGAGATTGAGATACCAAGGTATCAAGCAGTAGAGTCAGAACAAGAACCCACATCTCTTGACTCTGCACCTTGCGCTCAGTCTAATCCTGGCTCACTGTAGCCTTGCTGAACTACGGGCCACACCTGCCTGTTTCCAGACACAAACACAGTTGCCTCCCAGAAGGATGGAGCAAGGAATTCAACTCTTGTTGCCTTCCCTTCCCCTTCTGCCCCTGGGATTCGCTGGGGGCAGAATCAGGTTCTGCCCATGCCCTCCTGGGAATTGTTGAAAGCAGTTAATGCCTCCTGGGCCCTTGCAAGGGTGAATCACAGCGTTATGTGTGCCTTCAGGTTTTCTTTATTATCTAGGTAAGATAGAAATAATTTTCCGGCCATCCCCAAATGCAGATGCATAGCCTGTACCCACAGGTCCGCTTCCCGTCTGCTTCCCCCAACCCCACCACCCCGCCAGCCTCTGAGAAAGAACATCTCCAGCACTCTCCGAGGCAGAAGGTGTTTCCATCCCCACAGCGAGACACAGTAGAGGAGTTTTCTGGGTCCTGAAGGTGGCTGGCCAAGGAAGCTGGGTGTCTGGCTGCATTCTGCTCTGCTTCCCTATCTTTCCTAACTCTGCCCTTCCTGTGATTTTCACATTTTCCCCTCCATCTTACTCTCAGAAAATCCCTGGGGAATGCAGCTTTTGTTCTATTGCTTCACATAATTCCCAGGGCTGGGAATGAAAATTATTTCCTTTCACAACCCCTGGCCGGGTGCCTTTCACATCCCGGCTGTGTTATGGGGTGATTTATAAACTGCAGGGTCTGGGGCTCTTTCCTCCACCTCCTCCCCCGCTTCCCTCCCACCATCATTTAAAACAAGACATTGCACACAACGTGCTCAGAGGTCAGGGTGTCCTCTGAAGTTGGCCACTGGGGCTTTTGCTTAGAGGCGAAGATTCAGTGGAACCATAGCGATGAGAGCATGAAAGCCATTCACCCCTGTTAGAAGAAAACAGAAAGAGGCCCCACAGCTGAACTTATCATCTGTGGGAACAAACAGGACTCAGTCTCAAAGGGGAGGGGGTTGGCTTTGAACTGAGAATTGTAAAAGCACATTTTCCAAACTTGTCAGGATTGTTTCATTTCTAGACTTTTACTCTCAAAGGAACCATGAGGAAGAGACGCAGCTTAAGAAGTTTTGAGCTGAGAGATGAAAAGGTACTTTTCTTTGTTTCCATAAAACTGAGGAGGGGACAAATGAAGCCAGGGGGTTCATTTTCCCTGTGTTACAACAGAGCACAGAAAGCAGACGGCAGAGCGTCATTAGGAAAGTGAGGTGTCCCTGTCCAATCTGAAGACCGTTGTCTGTCAGCTGCCTCCACGGAGTCCTGTCCTGCCACTGAACCCGCTTCAGGTGTCGATTCCTCAGAAGCTGAAACAAGACAATGAGGTGAGCACATCAGTCAAGCTTCAGACTGGTCTCTCTGGTCAGGGGGTTTCTGTCTGAGCCAGGCCCCAGCAAACACAGTGTGACCTCTCTGGGCTTCCTCTCCTACCTCCTACTCTCCTACCTCCTGGGCAGGAGAACGTCTTCGGAACTGAGGCTGAAAAAGCCCATACAGACCTCCGCCTTGTTGCTATTGTATTTCTTTTGTCCCACCTGTGTCATCTTGTTGGTCACATACCAGCTCTTTACTTGTGCATAACTCACACAACAGCCCCAAGCCTCCAGACTTTGCTGGCCCTGTGACTGTCTGTGAGGTCCAAGCATCAGAATCATACAGGCCAAGGTTCACACCCGGCACGGCCACATTCCTTGTTAACCCCTCTGGGCCTCGTTTGTCCTCATCTGAAAAGTGGGGAGATGATGATTACACCTACCTCCCAGGGTTGTGGTAATAAGTAAATCATATGATTTACAGAAAGTGATTAACACAATGATAACACAGAGTACGAACTCAAAGATGCCGGTTCTTATTTCTAAGTATGGAAGGGAGCCCAGAGAGAAGGTACTGGAAAAGAACTACCTCTAGGAACGAGCCACACAAGGAAGGAGGGAGGGAGCAGGTCTCAGAGAAGGAATGGAAAAAAGAAGGCTGATGGAAGACCATCTCCACCTCATCCTGCTCTCCCTGCGGTTTCATTTGGAAAGGTTAGCATCTAAGATTTTCAAGTCATGTCATTCCTGTTTCGTTGCTTTCTTTCTTTTCTTTCTTTCTTTCTTCCTTCCTTCCTTCCTTCCTTCCTTCCTTCCTTCCTTCCTTCCTTCCTTCCTTCCTTTCTTTCTTTCTTTCTTTTCCTTCCTTCCTTCCTTCCTTCCTTCCTTCCTTCCTTTCTCTTTCTTTCTTTCTCTTTCTTTCTTTCTTTCTTTCTTTCTTTCTTTCTTTCTTTCTTTCTTTCTTTCTTCCTTTCTTCCTTTCTTCCTTTCTTCCTTTCTTCCTTTCTTCCTTCCTTCCTTCCTTCCTTCCTTCCTTCCTTCCTTCCTTCCTTTCTTTCTTTCTTTCTTTCTTTTCTTCTTTCGTCATTGTTCCAGAGATATTTGAGTTCAGAGAGGGTCACGTAATAGATTTGTGGCTCTAGAAATCAGGAAATGCAGGAGGAGCGCCTGGCTTCAGCCTTCTGTTCCCAAATTAATGAATGACTTCTTTCACCAGAAGGGACTGTTAGCACTTCAGACATCTTCCTGAACCTGGATCAGTGATTAACCTTGTTTTCAGATCCTAAAAGCAATGGGTAGTTCTCAGCACGAATAATTTGCTAAGGTACTAGTCATGAAGGAACATAAGGGGTGATATGCATGTGAAAAAATTGGGGCTAGTGGGCCTGTCCCCAGTCTCTCTCCCCTGTCTCTGGCCCAGGATGAGGTGAGAATTTGGGAGAGGAGCCTGGAGTATACAAGGAGGGAGATCGTGGGGCACCTAGAACCAGCTCACTGGGGCGACTCTGGGTGATGTTTCATATGGAGTATTCAGCTCATGCATAAGTTAGGGCTAATCTGACAAGGAATCAGTTCATAAGACCCTCAAATGGGGCATTTTTATAAGGTAAGGCCAAAGGGGATTTACTTAAGTGGACATGTCACTAGCTATGCATTCATTTTAACTCCATAGTACATCCTTCCCTCCTCCCCCTGAATCATGCTTAGCAATATTTTATGTTCTTTGGAAACTGTTAATTACACAGGTGTTTTTGTTTGCCAATTCTCTATGAGTTTTATTATTCCCAATACCCTTTATCCCTTTCACTTTGAATCACAGAGTTTATTGTGGTATAGCTTTTCTTTGAACTGTAAGCACTATTACCATTTTTAAAGGAACAAAATTTTTCCAAAATGGAAATGTGCAAGATTAGTGATAAGGACAGTGTGTTTGAAAAGTTTGAGGATCAGTTTTGTTGTGGTATCGCGGCAAACAGAGGGGGAAGGAGTGGATTACAGATAGAAATGTAATTATTTCTATTGAGAAGACATGGCTCACCCCGGCTCTGTCACTGCCCATCAGCACTAAAAGGGGCAACTGAACTCTCCCCATCTAACGTCCCGTGCCTCAGTTTCTCCAGACGTAAAAAGATAACTGCGCAATACATCTGCCTCCCACTCAACTCATAGAGATGTTATGAGAACCTATAAGAGAAAATCTCCACAAGATAGTATTGTGAGTGCCAAAATGTGGTTTGTGTCTTTGGAATTGTACCAGAAGTGGGGGTCGCCCTAACAAAAATACAAACCGAACAAGAAGGGGTTGGAATTGCTAAAATAAGGGATTCTAGCAAAGGAAACCTTTTTCTTTAGCTATCCACAGGCAGGTTCTGTGTCTGATGTGCCCCTGCTTCCAGAAAGCACATAATTTCTTTGTAGCGAAGACAACTCATCTATTTTCTGGCTTTACCTCTCAGAAAGAATTTTGGAAGTAAACTCAACACTAGGAAAGAATATCTCACAGACCCTTTAGCCTCCCTGTTATTCAACACTTTCTTGTGTTTTCCTTCCTTCTAATTTCTCTTCTCAAAAAGTTTTCAACATACTCCCTCCCTCCCCGACCCACTTTGTGTCTCTTGCTCCCATGGCATGTTTTTCTCTCTTCTAACTGGGCTGGGTTTTTTGTTTTTTGTT